TGGCAAATTTCGCAGGTAGCCTGTGCTTAGCAGCAATCCTGGATAAGTGCTCATTAGGGATATTGGGGTTAGGTTGTGTATATGAAGTTTTGCTGTATAACTGTTCTGCAAGGCTGTGCACTAAGAAAAATTGAAGAGAGCCCAGTGCTCAGAAACTGTGAAATCCAGGATGCCCAGCATATGCTTTTTATAAAAAAAACTAAGATTCCTGGGTCAGCCAAGAACAAATGTATGGTGGCCCATCATTGTCACTATAATTTTGATCGTGGGGATTTGATTTACAATTATTACTCCTATTATTATTATTATTTTGAAATAGCAATGGAAGAAAAAACTTAATTAAAAGTAATGTAAAACTGAAAAGCCAAATCAAACGTAAAATACAATTTACCACCAACAAAAAAATTAAAACAAATATTGAAATAGAACTGAAAATCAAAAGGAAAGTCAAAATCAAAAGTTAAGTTGCTTTGGCAGCGTGGCCCATCCTTGTCACTACCATGATCCTTTGTGGAAGTTGACAACTTTGGTCTTGCGTATGACGCCATAATTACGCACCTTTGCTTGCCTTTGCGTGGCAAACTTCGACGCGATGACTACAAAGTGGGAAAAGTTTGCCGCAAAACAGAAGCAAAAGCGTACTAAAACAGAATGTAACGACACTAAAATTTCAAAAGCCAAGCGGCTAGCAACTAACAAGCGCAGGGAACGCAGAAAAGTCAGACGTCAAACACGTTCAACTATCAAAATAGAGGCGAACAAAACGCACATAAAAAAAACCTCTCAAATTAAGAACTTACAAACGACCAGATTCATTTACTGGCAAAAAGGCTTAAATTCATTCTAACACCCGTTACAAAACAAAAACAGATCAGACAACAACTATTCCGTGACTTTGATCAGTTCGCAAGGAGAATGCGTCTGATTTACATATTCCGAGGGGAGGACAGAAAAACCCATCCCTGCCACGTCAAATCTACGTGGATACCACAAATACAAAAATCAGTAGCCCTTGAAAGCTATTTAGACGAGGTTAAAAGTGACCTTTCAGAAATAGAGCTCAGAAATCAAGCTCCAAGTATATTGATCAAAGTCGTGTAGCATAAAATCTATGATTTCAGACCTTTTTAATCCTTGTTGAACGTATTTTTCAAGTGCTTCTTTTAGATCGTGATCATCGCTCTGTTGTCCTCTGTTGTCTCTTGCCGCTCTGTTGTCCGCCATGTTATCGAAGCTGCGCCTTCTGGGTAGCAGGGCAGGCAAAGGATCATGGTTGTGACAAGGATGGGCCACGCTGCCAAAGCAACTTAACTTTTGATTTTGACTTTACTTTTGATTTTCAATTCTCTTCAATATTTATTTTAGTATTTTTGTTGGTCGTAAATTGTATTTTACTTTTGATTTGGCTTTTCATTTTTACATTACTTTTAATTTTAGTTTTTTTCTTCCATTGCTATTTCGAAATAATAATAATGATAGTAATAATAATAATAATAATAAATCAACTCCACATGATCAAAATTATAGTGACAATGATGGGCCACCATACAAATGTAAGGCGCCATGGGATCACCGGTCGCTGCTAGACCACAGCCCTGGTGCTGGATTGTGCAGTAAGAGCTCTACCAGTTCCGAAACCTAGCCAGGGAATGGTATGGTGTACTTGGATAGGTATACATGCAGGGAAAAGTAACTCACTGTGCCTCTCTCCTCTAATGAGTTTACTTGTAAATCGGCATCAGTTGACAGTTAGGAAACTGACAAAATGCAGAGGGGCTCTTTAGAACACATGGTTGCATACCGGTGAGCAGGATAAGCTCGGACAATTTGTACCACATTAGGCATTGAATAGCTTAACTTAACTTTTCTTAAGTTGATTAACAAGAGAGGGGGGAAAAGACCCTAAAGGAAATTATCTGCTATTTTCAAACTCCAGAACCCACTGATCCTGAAAATGTCAAACACAGAAAACAAACAAGAAGAGAACAAGATGAGCCAGAATTTCAAAATGATATCTTCTTG